AAGGTCATTTAAGTTCATCTTTCATATTTGATCATTCTAAATCCGTTACAGTTAAGAAAGGAGAACGTTATATTCTTACAAAGAAGAAATGAACGTTTTTGTTACCAATGAGGGTAAGGGGATTTCAAATTTGAGACTTCTTCTACTATTGAGAAGTGAGGAATAAAGAAGAACACTATATTCTTACAAGAATAATAAGTTAACAACACTAGTCATTTCACTAGTCATTTTTTTTTCAGGTTATAGTTCTCACTTCTTAAACTTGAGACAACTGGATCAATATCTAGTTGAAGAAGTAAGAAACGTAACCTGAAAGATTAAGCACCAATAGTTAGTTTAAGAAGTATAGTGAGGATGTAACCAGAAAAAATAAGATCAGCTATTAATTATTCATGCAGAGTAACTTGAGTTGTGTTATCTATATGATTATGGACTTGTTTTAGAATAAATCAATACATATTTAAGGTGCATATTGCAATGTGTCTATTTCGTGCCAAATATTGATAAAAGTAATTTTCATAATTTGGAAGTGTTTTTAACCCTAATTGAAGTACTAATACTTATTATGTCTAAACTTATCTAAATTACCGTTAGATTTATTGTTGTTTTATTTTTAAAAGATCCATTATAAACTACCCTCTCATATCACCATGCATTAATCCATGAGTTTATAAGTTAGACAACTTTTAGATTCAAACGCTAAAACATATAATCATATATAGCATTGAGGTACAAAATAAAGATAGCTCATTACATCAGGTTGGCGGACAGAGGCATAGTTTGTGGCCTCAACTAAATGAGATGTAGATACATGAAATTGAGGTTCCATCATAAAATCAATTGGCAATATGGGGAGTAGCCCAAGACCATGTAAGCACATAGCAAACCTTGTCCCTCACCGATATGAGACAACTCTCAACATGCCCCCACACGTGTGTCCGATTTTCAAGCTACACGTGGACAACATAACAGAGTGACGTGAAGCGCGTGTGACCGTTTGGTTTCACACGAGGACAACCTGCTCTGATACCATGATGAAATTGAGGTTCCACCATAAAACCAATTAGCAATATGGGGAGTAGCTCAAGACCATATAAACTCATAGCAAACCTTATCCCTCACCGATTTGGGACAACTCTCAACAACATAGATGACTTTGAACCTAATTTTTGGTTGGAGAGTGAAATTTCCTGGAAAAAAAGTCTTGCATCGAAACTAATTTTGCAGTAAAGGATATTTCATGTGCTCATGCAATCTACAAGTATAGACAAAAAATGAATTCAACCAAGTAAAAAAAGTGGTTATGGAAATAATGTTCCAAAGGGGCCCTGGCCAGTGGCAACCACCATTTGAGATCGATCTCATGGGCCACACCGCCATTCGCAATCTCTTGCCTTGAATGGGATTGCAGAAGAAAAACACAACCCATTGACGTTGAAAACTCTCTCTCTCTCTCTCTCTCTCTCTCTCTCTGTCTGTGGAGGGTGAAGTGTCCTTATTGTGAAGCAGCATAAGATTCGATTTGTATGTGTTGCCTCATCAAGGCAATTCGGTCGGAAAAAATCCTTCCATGCATCTTGTAATCATCATGAGTTGTCAAACTCAACTCATGCATTCTCCCACAACGTCGTACCATATATGTTATTCCCACGCAAATTGCAATGCAATAAAACATGCAAACCGAAAAAAAAAAACCCACGAATTTGAGTTTGTCTTTTTTAAGGTAAATAATTTCTTAGGCTATATATGTAGGCAATACTTTTTTATTGATTAGTAGCGCGAAATTATCGGCTCGTGATACTTTTATTGAAAATTGACCTTGTGTTCATTGTTTGTACAGTGGGCCTCGAATCAATTTTATCACTTTAAAAAAATGTCAGAGAAAAAGAACCACTGGCCACCCCCACCCTGTGAGGCATCCGGCGATCTCCCACCATATTTGTTTGATAATGGTTTAGTTGTTATATGTGCAACTGAATCATTATAAGATTTTATTTAGAAGTCTTTTATAGATTAATAACTTTAAAACTTAACAAAAAGAAAAAAGAAGATAAATGAGATGAGAGAGGGAGAGAGGAGACCAGATAAAGGAAAAGAGAAAGGGGAAGGGGGGGGGGGGGACGATGCGATGAAAAGAGGCATCACGAGTTAGGGTTCTGCTGGGCTGTCGAGGTGGCGGTTGTTCTTTTATTTATTTATTTTTTGTCAAAGCGGTTGGTTTTATTTTTTTATTCTTCTTCTTTTCCGACGTTTTTATCTTTAATTTATAATTTAAAAATGATTAAAGGACATATGGCATATTTTCAATGACAGTATCACAAGTGACGTGGTTCTTGTTAGTAGCAATATATGAAACTAGCACGACTATTTTACGTGAATAGATAAAATCAAAACCTTATTTATATTGAAGTTTCAATGATATCCAAATTAGATGCATGTGTCGGTATGGTTGAAAATAATTTCGTCAAATATTTGAATTCACGACTTTTTTAACAAAACGAAGACTGTGAACTATGAAAATTAACAATAACGATAATCACGACATCTTTCTTTCTTTTTGCTGACATGCAGCGACATTAATTTGAATTTTGAACCATCCTCATATATATGGTTCCATCCTGCAATTTAAGGGTGATAGAAGTTACTGTAATTAATTAGATAGATCAAGTAGATCTTATTGGTGTTATAGAAACCAAGGAATTTAGCTGAGAGCAAATATGCTGACAGTTTAGTTGGGATCCCCTTGACAAGAGTTTTATTATTTTTATTTTTTTTAACAACGATAATATCTAGGCTAGTAATAATGTGGTTCAAATTCATCTTTGGTGATATCAAACCTATGATCTCTCACTTATAAATGAAGATGAATATCACTAGGCCGTAGTATCAAGTGGCCATTGACATGAGAGATTGATCCTTTCTAGATAATGAAGGATTTAATTGAGGGCTTTATTTGTCGAATTATTAGAGAGACGGACCAAAGGTCCACTTCCAACAATATCGATATTGTCCCAACTTGGTAATTACCATCTACACAATCCGTCAGGTGTGGGGTTTTACCATAAAAGGCCTCGGTATTAGTTGGAGTGGGGTGGGGTTAGGATATTTAAACTATTATTTCTCTTTTTCTATTCCCGATGTGGGTCATATGTGGGAGATCCATACATCGGCAATGCTAGGCTAAGGGACCCACCATCATCGCGCATCGCGCAGGGCCAAGGGGACCCACCCATCACGTGGCAGTACAGTTTATGGGTCTGCTCCCTGGATTTGATACTATGTCGAATTATTACAAAGACCGGCCAACAACATCGATATTGTCCCTAATTTGGTAATTACCACCTGCACAATCCGTCAGAAGTGGGGTTTTAACACAAAATGCCTCAGTATTAATTGGAGTGGGGTTAGGATATTTAAACTATTATTTCTCTTTTTCTATACCCGATGTGGGACTCAACATTATTAACAATTAATCTAGTTGGGATTCCGAGTTTTTTGGATTAAATTCATCAGCCATTGTCAGTGATTGACATATGTTATTCCTATATACAAGAACAACTGATGATAGCATATTCTTTGTTATATGATACATACCGCATATATTTTGGGATGTACATTAATCAGACTCTTCAAGTCTAACACAATTGGGGTCAAGTCTAGCACAATCGGGGTTGGTAGATTCTAATCTTACCCAATTTCACCGGGATTATAGTGACATCATTTTGTCATGCTTAATTACTATTTGGATTCATCAATCATATATATATATATATATATATATATATATATATATATATATCTTACCCTCCCCCTTTTTCTCTAAGTTTGATTATGATGAGATTTGTTTTGCTTTTAATCATTCGAGAAGATGTGGAGAGCTCGATAGTTGCTTCTTTCTTTGTCCATTTCAAGTGTGAGAAAATGGCATATACGAATGCCTACTAGTATAAAATAATAATGGCTTAATGAGATTAATAGTTAAAAAAAAAAAAAAAATTAGGATTTAAATCCATGTGGTGAAGTTTGTTGAGATTTAAGTCCAAAATTGAAAATTTCACTCTCTCAGTTAATTGTTAGCACATAAGACTCACAAATGAGGCTAAAAAGATAATGTTAGCCTCACATGTAAGCTTCACATGCTAACAATTAACAGAGAGTTTCGTTTTAGCCTTATATGTGTGGCTTGCATGCTAATAATTAACGGAGAGTTGACGGAATTTTCAATTTTGGCCCTAAATCCTAATAGATTTTACCACATGGACTTAAATCCTAATTTTTTTCACCTAAGTGACTACCTTTCAACTACCCTATCACCACATAAGCTAATAATTCTATTAGGCCAAATTTTAATTACTGTAAAACTCAGTAAGTGAAGGCTGGCTAGCTAGCTGTATACAGTGCTTCTTTAGGAAAAACATGATCAAACTACTGTAATCGCGTTGATGAATAATTGTTAGCACTTTATATACATGTACATATTTGATTAGAGTGCTATGATTAAAAACGTGGGTTCTCGAACACTTTCTGGTATGATGATCCTATTTTATGTATCTTGGATTGAAAAAGTGGTGGTCCAATCTTCTACTTGGGATTGAAATCATTCTGACAGCGAAATTTGCATGCCAGCAGTAATAAAAATGAGCAAAAAGTTTGGTGCATAATATTTACCCGGTAATACTAAGGAAATTAAATTTGTAAATAAAATTTTAGAAATTAAAGAACGTGCTCATTCTTATTGGTGACACATCATTTAGTTTACAAATTTTGTCTCTAAGTTTAGTCTCCCTATCATTACCCTATTTACCCATACCCAAGTTAACAAGTTTCTCCGTTTTACGAGGGTCGGGGATGGGTGGGAGAAATGCAGTCTTATTCTTGCTTTAAAAAGAGGTTGTTTCCACCACTCGAACTCATGATGTTGATCACAAATGAGCAACATTTTTGTTGCACTAAAGTTCGCCCACGAAAAAGAAAAAGAGTATACGGTAAAAAAATTGAAGTCAGTTGAAATGATTTTCATTATTTATCAGTGGATCAAGTCAAATTTCCCATTGAAGTTGTCTGAACACACTACACCCCTCCAAAATAAATCCAAAAAGAAGAAAGAAATACAAAACCCTAGCTAGGTAAAGAGAAAGAATAACCATACACACAAAACCCTAGCTACATCAATGTTAATACTACTCTCTCAATTCTCTCATCCCAACCCCATTGGAAATACAGGCAAAAAAAACCACAATCATATGCATACATTGATGAAAATTAATACCCCTTAATCTCTCTCGTTGATCTCTCTGCCTCTATAAAAAGTCATACCTAATTAGAGATCAATAATAATGATAATGTAGAAGTGTACATGCTTCTCTCTCAGAATTCCTCTTTCCCAATGCTCTGCAGCTAGCTTCTGTCAGTTTCAAAAATAAAGGAATCATGGACCTAATTCTCTCCCTTTCAACCTTTTCTTGGTAGTAACATCCTTTTTTTTTTTGATTTTTTTTTTACGGAAATGATTTCGACGCACTGTTTTCACTTCATGCATACTTTTCTAATTTTTAGCCATTAAACTGAACAAAGCAAATAAAATCAAGGACTGGAATTAGGAGGGAGTGAGCAGAAATCACTACTTTCTTTTTCTGCACATGGCACCAACCACCAAAAACAGTCGAAGAGGTGATCCTTGGGTAAAATTTTTCCAGGCCAACCGAAATCTCTCTCTCTCTTGCTTTGTCTCCCAGCTGCCTTCTCGATGTTATTAGCTCATCAAATCAAAATCGTCACAGTGTGATGATGATGATGATGATGATGATAATGGGAAAAGTTAGGCGTTAAAGGGAGTACTACAATGCTTTGCCTCAGCTTTCCAACACCGTCCAATATCTTCAGCAATTCTTTTGGCATCCATTGAGGTACCAAGTAGTCCACGTTTGGTAAACCCCACTGCATATAAGCCACATTCACCTTTCCAACCATTTGGAAATGGCCTTCTAGGTAACCCATCTTCTTTTGAAAACATATCACCCTCCTGCAATACCATAAATGTGAAAATTAGGGTAAATGCTAAACTTATATTCCCTATATGTAAAAATTAGGGTAAAATGTTCTTGGTTGACTTACGTTGTCAGGCAAATGCTTTATACATATTCTCAAATTACAATATATATATTTGTACGACATGTTCATGCAAGAATCAACATAAATAATACATATTGTAGTGGGATTGGTACCTTTAGCCAAATGGGTACATTGCTTCTGTAACCTGTTGCTAATATAATGGCATCAAATTTCTCGGTTCGTCCATCAATAAATTCTATAGCGTGAGGTTTTAACCTTTTGATGGCTGGACATACCTACAATATCACATAGTATAACAAGTTAGAAAATCAGGAAAGTGAACTGAGTCGACATTTATATATACAATAAAAAGAAAAAGAAGCTAAACTGATAACATATATTAAACAAGATTCTAAGAGCTCCATGCATATTTTGTCCAATTATGGTGAAAATATTTATTATCATACACAGTTAAACACAGTTCTATGTAAATACAATTCACCGTATGACAATATTTTAAACTTTTTGACTAGAGAAAAAGAAGATTTACTTGTTTGTGGGACATCTATTACATCAAAAGGCATATCTAGGTACCATCATTGGAAAAAGTACTGTGTAAATATTAAAAGGCCATGGCTGGCAAAGAGGAAATTAAAAGAAAAAGAGAAGATTAAAGTGAGATTGAGAATTGACTTGATGAAAAATCTTAGTACCTGTATGTCTCCACTTTTGATCTTTGCCAGTGTACCAACGTCTAAGACAGGTGTCTTTCCAGACAAGTTCTTGAGCTCCAAGGGACCCAATTTCGGCCGGTCTAATCCGAGTTGAGAGGTGTTGCCGAGAAGCAGACGAGACACAACCAGCAAGAACCGATCCACAAGTCGAATGGGCAGCCACTTGAGCAACCACACGGACAGCCCAAAAGTTGACTTTCCAAGCATCTCTCTTGGTAAGACATGAACCTAATTAATTAAAAAAAAAACACGAAATTATAAAGTTAAAAATTACACTCGAAAAAAGCTCAAAAGTGCACAAAAAGAAAGAAAGGCAATCAAAAATTAGCATGGAGGTGATGGGTGAGTCCCATTCCATGTTGTTTGCTAGGACTTTGCCTAGCTAACTCTGGCTAGCTAATTTCTTCATATGCCAACGGACGAACGAATATTAAGGGCACAAATGTTTCTTTATTCTGAGAAAAGAAAGGTTTGAAAGTATGAGAGAGCCCAAGTTTCTGACCAATTTTACGCATGCTTGGGTGTTCCAAGAAAGTGAAAGACCAAAGAAATTTTTGTTTTACCAAAAATAGGGTTTTATATTCATGTTTAATCGACTTTGAACAAACCGTTGGATCTTGAAGTGATAAGTAGCTTGAGGTTTTTTTAGCCAAGAGTACAAATTTCTGAAAAATGGGGTCTCATTTATACAAAAATACACAAATTAAAACTTGTTAAAAACAAAATAATAAAAAACTCAAGGGCACCAAAAATCTTAAAACACTTTAATGGCATTTGTTTAGAGAGAGAGAGAGTGAGAGAGAGAGTTCTTACCGTGTCTCTGACCACAAGAGAAGGCCTAGCATTATGATTACATAGATCCAAGCACACCTCCATGCCTGAATTTCCACAACCAACAACCAAAACTTTCTTCCCTCTAAACTCCTCACCACTCTTGTACGAACTTGTATGCCTTATAGGGCCTTTAAACTCAGTCATTCCCTCAAGCTTCGGCACCACCGCCTCTGCATTCTCACCAGTGGCGGCAATCAACCACCGGCACACATACTCCGTCTCATCATCACCCTTCACTCCCGTTGTCCGCACACGCCAAAACCCGAGCGTGGGATCAAACTCGGCACTGGCCACGGTCACATTGAACTGTGGCCTAATGTCATACTTGGTAGCATAATCTTCAAGGTATTGAATGAATTGTTGCTTTATAGGGTAAGTTGGGAAATCATTAGGGAAAGGCATGAAGGGTAGCTCACAAAATTGCTTCGGCAAGTGAAGGCGAAGGCGGTTGTAGGTCTTAAGCTTCCATAAGGAGGCTATGCAATGGGATCTCTCCAGGATCACACTTGGTACACCTTTTAACTTCAGACATGCGGCTGCTGCAAGCCCTGATGGACCTGCACCTACGATGACCGGCCCTGGAACACACACTACGAGTCTAGAATCTCTAGATGATGGCGATGGTGATGGTGATGATGCTGACAAGGACGAAGACGACAGGGACGAAGAGGACTTGCTCATTTTGTCAATGAAATAAGGATCATTGGATTGTTTGCCTTGTAATTCTCTTGTGTTGTAGTATTCCATGGACATCTAAATGGCGATATGTAACAAATTAATTTACTTCAGGAATACAAGTAATGAATTAAAAGTTGAAGAAGCTAGCAGAGGAATTGGTAGTGAATGAAAGAGTGTGGTTTAAGAGGGAAAAAGTAAGAAAAGTGAGAGGAAAACATTCGGGAGAGGAGATGTAGGTTTTGGGAATATGTGAGTCTCTTAATCAGTCTAAGTTTGACTTTTCTAAGAGGGGATTAAGCTGATGATGATACTGAGTTAGTGGTGATCAAGGTGTTTTCTCTCTCTCTCTCTCTGTGTTATCAGAGAAAGATTGGGCATGTGAGGACGATTCCTTGAATTATGGAGTGGATTAAGAGGGTCTTATCCATTTGTAAGAATGTGTAATTCGTTTTTTGGTGTTTTAAGCTGAGGAATGAGCAAACTACGGGACTAAATCAGCATTCAACACAAGGAGAGAGAGAGAGAGAGAGAGAGAGAGAGAGAGAGAGATGGTGATATGTGTATTTATATTCCTTATTGTCATACAAGAATTTGTATGAGAAAGGCTAAGCGGTGAAGATATGTGATGCAAGTGGACATGACATGAATATTAATAAATACTATAAAGCATACTTTAAAAGTAATATTTTCTTATGCCTTTTACAGTAGGCTGAAAAATGTGTGTTTGATACTAATATATTAGACTCGCATACATATCGGACGTATACAGGAATATGATCCTAATATATGAGTTCAATATATTAAACTCATGCATGTGATAACGATATATTGAACTCATACTAGTGTAATAGTAGTAGGTATCAAACTCAGATTACCTTTTCAAATAGTGACACCTCGAGAGAAGTATTTATCATGAAGTTGGTTATTGTTTGATTATGTAACAAATTGACCCGGTAGATCTGAAATTAGAGGTGTGAATGGACGTCCTTAAAGGGCATAAATTCTTTTACATAATCCAAAAATAATGATCCGAATAGGATAAGTAGTCACTAATCTAGATGATTAAGCGAGTGAATTATTGGCATTGGATAATACGGATCGGACCAACTTGGGTTGGGCCTCGGCGCGGGTGGAGTATGAACTGTATCCAAGATACCATTCACATTACATGGGGATATTTTAGAGGGACCTTTTGATACAAACGCCTCAATTTTAAATTTTTTTATCAAACATTTATGCCTTTTAGTGATTTGATTAAACTTTTTTTTTGTCATAATTTTGGTGCTATATGCACATTGTATTGTAACAAATTTCCTATAATCTAGCTTTTTGATTACACTCTCATCCGTTAGAGATAATTGTCAAAAAAAAAAATGGTTAGATTCAAAATTATTTTCACAATAATGCTACAATTTAGCTATAATTATCTACGATTTAAGATATTTTGTCACATCCCGGCTCGGGGCGGATCACTTCCCGGGCCCGCTCCACCACCGTAGCACGATATTGTCCGCTTTGGGCTTACCATTCCCTCACGGTTTTATTTTTGGGAACTCATGAGCAACCTCCCAGTGGGTTACCCATCATGGGATTGCTCTAGCCCCCTTCTCGCTTAACTTCGAAGTTCCTATGGAACCCGAAGCCAGTGAGCTCCCAAAAGGCCTCGTGCTAGGTAGAGATGGGAATATATATATATAAGGATCACTCCCCTGGGCAATGTAGGATGTCACATATTTTCTTTCCAAATAGTTTAAAATATGTTTAAATCCGCCAAAATCAAACGTACCGAAATAAGTTTTTCTTTTAGTACGTTAAGAGAAAATATGATTGAGAATAATATAAACGTACCAATACACAATGTGTACAAAATAAAACATACCAAAATAAAAATAATGTACCAATATTAACAATATGTATCAAATCAAACGTACCAAATTGCAAATAAACGTACCAATTAATGATTTTTGTAAATTCAAATGTACCTGCAGATAATACATACGTAATGTATTGTACCTAATAATAATTCGTCAACAACTATAATTAAAAAGAAAAAGAAAATAATAATAATAATAATAATTTCACAAAAAAATTGAAAAAAATTACATGGAGCTTTTATATTGATCACCAACTATTTGAAAAAGAAAAAAACCATTTGGAAAAAGAAATAATATTAAATGTTTTCATAACAAAAAAAAAAAAAAAAATGTGATCGAAAAAAACATATTTGGAAGACGAGAAAATATAGTTTAATTAATAATATCTCCACTAAACAAAGAAAAGTGGATCATGCAGATAAAATGATAAATTCAAAAAAAAATTTAATTTTAAAAAATAGAGGTGACTATTGGTCAAAGTACTTTAATCAAATTTAAAGAAGGCACAGATGTTTAATCTAAATGATATAGAAAGAGGGATTCTAATTTTCCCTATTTTAGATGCTGTGGGTGATTTGTGATCATGGAAATTTAAAGTTGATGTACTATGAACAAAAACATGTTTTTGAAAATTAATATTTTTTTGGGCTAAAGAAAAAAAATTATTTTTGAAATTTCTATTCTAGTGGATTTGAATTAAGGGAGTTAGATAAATGTTCTTTCATTTTAAAAGCACTCACAGTAAATGTAAAAACCTCTGGTTACCAAGTTATAGGAGTTCAGCATCCAGCCTTAATATAATATATAGAGTTTATTACAAGTGCATGTGCACAAATATGAATTTTCAAGCCATAAATAAGAGCCCAAAAAATCAAACGTTATTAATCCAAAGTAATCAGAAAAATGCTAACATTAGAATACCTAGAGCAATTAAATGGTCAGAAATTAGTCTACCTTCAGGTTGTTCTTTAACCAACAAAAGTAAACTGGTAGATGTAAACTAGAAAATATACAACAATTCTTTGATGGCACGATAAAAATCAACTTTAATCCTCCTAGAAGATTTAGTGTCTATCTCATGGAGAAATTTTTGTTATGACCGGAACATAGGTGGTACACCATATGTTTTTATGTAAGTGGTGAGAAATTGTATTTTTTAAGTTATTAACTTTAACACACATATCCTACTATTTATATAGTAACACGTCGTATACCATGTCACATTAAAAAATGAAACTAAGTCGATCAACTAGGCATGAAGAATTAGTTAGAAATTCTTTTTTAGAATCAACCTTCACTGACATTTTAGATTGTGATCATGAATTAGAAAATTATTTAATGAATATGAAACTTAAATCAGTAAAAAGAACTTCTCAAGTCGGTCAACCTTGTTATGCAGGCCAAAAGTCAAACTAAACCAAGCCTTCTCAGGAAGAACCAACATCACCTATAGCAATTGATTTCGAATGAAATATAAACCGTCGATTATTAGTTTTAAATAAACCATCTAAAAATAGATTGGAAAACCTTAAATGCTGACATAGAATAAGAAGAAAATATACCCTGAAGAGAATTATATAGGCGGAGTTACCCTCCAAAACTAAGATTAGATATTTTTAAAAGCTGGAAAAGCTTTGTGAAAAAACATAGGATAGATATATCCGTTTTATTTTATTGAAGAACATTATCAATTGGAGAAAAAATTTAAAGTCATCACGAAAGAAAATTGGATTAAACAAGACAAAAGACTAGTCTCAACCACATTCCCCACTAGAAACTATCCTAGTAAATACTTCAAACACTCAAGGAGCGACTTCATACAACATCCCAAAAGACGAGGCTGGAGTCAAACGAGGCATAAAACAAAATAATTTTACTAACCAAAGTTTAAACTTTATAGGAAAACAGTTAGACAAAATTGAAAATAAAATAGATTAACTTCCAAAACAGGAATTAGCAGCTAGCGATAAACCTTTAGTGGAATTTCCTGATGCTTTCTCTAGTAAAATTGTCCTAAAATTAAACTTCACTAGTGAAAAAATTGATAAGAGGTTAAAAGAACTAAAAATAGAACAAAAAACTATTTCCGTAGTAAAACACCTCCAGTCTTTCAAAAAATTAGTATTCAGGCTAACACCTCCGGATAACCAATTTGAAGAAAAATTCCCAAACTTAAATTTTCGTATATGCGGATAAACTATGTATGGAACATAGATTGTTTATTTGAGCAAGAAATCTTAAACAAGTTACAACACATGTCTATGGTTACAAGCTGTTATGTTATTAGCTATAACCTTAGCCAATCAGAGGTCGTTGACCTTTTGGCAACCAGATTCATAGGAATGTTACAGAAAAACACGTCACTGAACAGTCCAAATTAGCCATTAAACATGCAGTTCAATAGAATGAAGTTGGAACCCCTATTTTTGGTGAAAGAATTGGTATGGGAGTCCTGACTCAGTCAACACATTATTTTTGACAATAATAGAACATTTAATAGGAACACCAAGTAATGTAACCTCTATAATACACAATCAACTTAATAATTTAAGATTTTCTACCTTGAGTCATTTTAGATGGTATAAAGATACTTCTTTTTAGTACATCGATATTTTTACATTAAGGGGAGGGGGAGTTTGGCTAAGCCACATAATGGGCAGCCTAATTTGGTATCGATTTTGCCATGTACGAGATTCGAACCTAAGACCTCTCACTTCAAAGTGAAGAGGAATACCACCAGACTGTAGTACTAAGTGGCAGATGATACAAAGATATTTTTATGTCTAAAGTAATGCTTAGAGAAGATAGTAATCAACCATTTTGGAAAAAAAAATTTATTAACGGATTACTAAATCTATTTGCATATAAAACCAGACAAGTATTAGTTAATGAAGATGGTATCATAACATACAATATCATTACTATGGAAATATAATTAATATTACCCAAAAAGAAGGACTAAAAATGTGTACTGACATAAAAATAACTAAACAAGTCAACAAGGATAAAAGAGTAGCTAAATATGAGTTAGGTACATTTTGTGAACAATATGGTCTAACCCTGTTGCCCCTTCCAGTAAAAAGAAAAGAATAGAAAATTACCTGAGTACAAGTTACTATAGACACAACTTGAAAAATAAAAACAAGAATTTCGATACTAGTAAATTTTATGAAAATAGCAAACCTAGGAAAGACTGGTCCAAAATACCAGTTCTAAAATCCATCCCAAAAATCACAGTAAAAATACATGTTACAAGTGTGGTAGATATTGTCATTATGCATACAAATGAAGAGTGAAAAAGACAACTAATTAGTTAAAAATATCTGAAAAAAAGAAAATAGACATAATTAGAATTGTAAAATTAAAAGATACAGACCAAAATGAAGAAGAATAACATGACTTAGAATCCAACTCCCCTGAGTCAAATCCTTCACGCAACTATGACTCTCCAGACATAAATATAGAATCCAGAGATGGTTGTTGTAAAACATTTTCAGTTTTAAACAAACAGGAAGAACAAGAAAATTTGTTATAAAATTAATTAGTAAAAATAATGATTCAGAATTATAATCTTAGTACTTGCAAAAATTAAAGAATTAGTAAAATAAGGAGAAAGTAGTACTAGCCAGACACACAATCATCAAGGTAAAATCCGCCCCAGCACAA